TAATTTGTACTTCTTAATCCTTTCACCTTTTTCACTCAGTCCCCCAAAGCCCTTCCCAACTGGCAACCAACAGTTTCTTCTCTTTATGAATGTTTCTATTTTAGTTCATTTCTTTTGTTTTTAGATTTCATATATATGAGAAATCATATGGTATCCATCTTTGGCTGACTTATTTCACTTAGCATGATACCCCTAGGTCCATCCATGTCACAAATGGCAAGATTTTATTCTGTTATATGGCTGAGTAATATTGCATTATGTACTTGTACCACATCTTCTTTATCCATTCATCTATCAGTGGACACTTACATTGCTACCATATCTTGTCTAATGTAAACACTGCTGCAATTAACATAGGGGTACACATATCATTTTGAATTTCTGTTTTTAGATTTTTTTCAGATAAATATCCAGAAGTGGAATTGCTGGGTTATATTGAAGTTCTATTTTTAATTTTTTGAGATAACACCATACTGGTTTTCACAGTGGCTGCACCAATTTACAATCCCATCAGTAGTGTATCAGGGTTCCCTTTTCTCTACATCTTCACCAATATTTGTTATTTGTTGATTTATTGATGATAGCTATTCGTTGTAACAGGTGTGAAGTGATATCTCATGGTTTTAATTTGCATTTCCCTTATGATTAGATGTTGAGCATCTTGTGTTTGTTTTATGTCAGGACCAGCCTTGTAATGTAGTTTGATATCAGGTAGTATGATACCTCCAACTTTTTCTTTCTCAAGATTGCTTTGAGTATTCAGGGTCATTTGTGGTTTCATATAAATTTTAGGATCATTTGTTCTAGATCAGTGAAAAATGCCATCGGAATCTTAATAGGGATTGAATTGAATCTGTAGATTACTTTAAGTATTACATACATTTTAATGATATTAATTCTTCTTATTAATGAGCACAGTATATCCTTCCATTTATTTGTATATTCTTCATTTTCTTTCGTTAGTGTTTTATAGTTTTCTGAGTACAGGTCTTTTAATTCCTTGGTTACATTTATTCCTAGGCATTTTTTTTTCCTGCAATTGTACATGGGATTGTTTCTTAAATTCTCTGATAGTTTGTTATCTATAATAAAAGGGTAATATTCTAATTAGACCGACGTCCTTCTGGTCAAAGCTGGGGTCGGAGGGAAGCCAGCCTGGGTCCCGGGTGTCAGAGGGAAACTGGTGCCAGCAGCCAGGGGAAGGAAGGCCTACTCTTGCACAAATTTCATGCATTGGGCCTCTAGTTGATGTATAAAATGCAACCAATTTCGAATATTAAATTTGTATTCTACTTTACTGAATTCATTTATTAGTTCAAATAGTTGTTGGTGGAATCTTTAGGGTTCTCTATAGATAGTATCATGTCATCTGCAAATGATGACAGTTTTATTTCTTCCTTTCCAATCCAGATGGCTTTTCTTTCTTTTTCTAAAGGGTGTCCCAAAATTCACGCAAGAAGTAATTTTGATAGAAAACACAGGTTTATGATTAAAAATTGTAAATTTTTTATTGATTCATAAAGTATACAGTATAGGGTTATGTATGGAATAGCATATCAGGTAAATGGCTTCCACAGCTTTGCTGGCACATACCCACTCTTAGGTTGAAATTTTCCGTGACTGTTTTGCATAAATGTGGCTGAATTTCATTGATACAATGCTCAATTTCCTCCTTCATGCTATTTAACGCCGTTGGACTTTTTTCTTTAGGGTTTTTTGAAGTCTAAGGTTTATGCCAACAAGACCACGACCACCCACGCCTTTATGATTGCTGTGGCTAGGACTTCCCATACTATGTTAAATAAAAGTGTGTTAGCTGTAAGTTTGTCATATATGGCCTTCATTATGTTGAGGTATGTTCCTTCTATCCCCACTTTGCTGAGAGTTTTTATCATAAATGGATGTTGGATTTTATCAAATGCTTTGTCTCCTCATTTTGGCCAACTCCCTATGCCTGTTTCTATGTGTGAGGGACATCAGTTACACCCCCCAGTCTTGGCAGAATGACCTTATGTCACTCACTCCATCTCCCTGGTCCCCTGAGCGGGGTGCTCCAGGAGTGTCCCTTGTGTGGGTTGTGCGTGCCTTCCTGTTGTAGCTAAGCCTCGATTGCCATGGGCATGTCAGTGGGTGGGACTGATCCTTAGGCTGGCTGGCTGTGAAGGCTGGCCTAGCGCGTAAGCTGTTGTGTGGACCCTGACCCCACAGTGTAGGAGTCACTTTAGTGGAACTCTCATGCCAGAGGAGTCTGCTCCTCAGGTGTGTCCTTTGTGGAGCTGGTTGGGTGGCTCTCTGTGTGGTATGAAGCAGGCTACCAGGTGTGTTGATCCTGCAGCCCCTTGAGAGGGACTCTGGTCCAAGCCAATGTTGGCCGCCACGTGTGCCCAGCTGGGGGCCACCCGGTTGGAGCTACAAAGTGATTTCAGGTGGGTTGCCGCGTGTGCTGAGCTTGGAGGCATGAGAGGAGCCATGCTGAGAACTGAGGCCAGCCGCAGCCAGCTGCCACATGTGCCAGGCTTGTGGCCACTTAATGGAAGCCACCTTCCAAGCCAACACTGCCCACAGCTGGGATGGGCGTGGGGCTACCTGATGTACTTTACAGTGCTAATTGAGACTGGCTGCCACTGGCACTGGCTTGGGGCCACTTAGCAAGAGGCACAGGCCACGCTGAGGTCGGCCCTGCTTGTTTGGGGTTTGTGGACGGACCTTTGAGGGGTTTTAGGAAAGTCAGGCCATTTGAGCGGCAACTGCGTTCGCTGATCCTGATATGTTGCCAGGTCAGCATCCGACTTCAGGACAAGGGCAGGCTTGACTCTAAAAGTACTGGGCATGAGTCCCGGGCACGAGGCTGAGGAGCAGCCCTGTTGCTCTCCTGGGTAACCTGCAGACACCATGAGACAGCAGTGACCTTACAGGAAAGCAAGGATGTGCCCATCAGTCACTGAACCTGATGCTAGGGCTCTCCGGGCATCCCTACGGCACATGCGCTGGATCACGTCTTTCCGATCTCACTGTGAGCACTTCAATGGCACAGAATGAGCCTTTAGCATCTTTTACCTGCACCTTCTAAGAGTGCCAGCTCCATGCCAGCCATGGCAACATCTGATAGGTAAGTGAATGCATTAATTAATGGTACGGACCAGGACCAGGGCAGTTCCGAATATGTAAATTGGCTGTCTGAGTGGTTATTTCACATAATGTGCTTTCACAATTCCCTAAAATACACAAGCCTTTCTTTCAAAAACTAATTCTGAAAAGCAGAAAAGATTCCCAGTGCAAAAATGACTCCAGCAAAACTGTCAAGTGCAATGACGCATTCAACTAATTCATTCAACCCCATCATTCATCGGCAAACACGCACTGAATCTTCATTACAGCCAAGCACTACGCCAAGGGTAGAGAGAAGAAGGGAAATAAGATGTGATGCCTCAAAGGGCTGGCATCAATCCATTTTTTAAAATGTTCCTCTGTGGTCCCAAGGCGCGCCAGGGAGGAGGAGGGCTGCCAGGGAAGGCCGCTGCTCACCCCCATCCCAGACACCACCCCCCAGCTCCTCCTCCACCTCCCAGTTTCTGCCTTGTCCTCACTTAACCAGAATCTCAGACTGAATTATTTCTTGCTTTTCACATCTACCAAATAATGTTTCTGTGCCCTATGGTTACCTTAAGCAGAAAAACAAACAAAAACACCACAAACAAAAAAAACAAGAACAAAAACCACTAAAATAAAATATTGTAAAATTAGCTTTTACAAAAACAGAACTAGAATTGTATTTCTTTCAAACCAAAATCTCATCAGGTTAATAAATACATATTTATTAAATGATTATTATGTGTAGGACAGCTTGGATCTCTAAGGCAATAAAAACAGCCCCAACCTTCTATCTGCATTCACTTACTTATCAAACTTTGACTCTAAATGAACATGATTTTCTATGGGTAAATGTTCTCAGTTGGGGGGAAGGTGCTAATCACGTTCTGCGCATTGTCCCTTTAGGACTGAATAAAGCCTCACAGTGAGAAAAGCGTGCCATGTGTCGGGCCCAGGAGTAAGCCTGACATGCAGCTTCGAGAAGCCCAGATTCCAGAGGCGTGGCTTCCACTCCGTTCCGTAAAGAATATCTGACTCTGGGTGGTCACCAGGGGAACCAAAAGTCCCAGTCTTCCCAGGACTGAGGGGCCAGCAGAGTCCCTGGCAAAGCAGGAAGACTGGTCACTCCAGTGGTCACCTCTTCTCTCACTACCCAAGTTCTCCTCTCAGAATTGAAGATGCTTAAATTCAGTGAAACCTGGTCATAAATCATACTACGAGTTCATACACTGCACTGTGATATGGATTATTCCATACACTTCATGCCAGTGGGGACAGATGCTATGTTTGCTGGTGTGCAAGCGATGTATGTTTGGTCTTACACCTAAAATATTCCTGTTGGAGAGAGACCCTGACAGATCTTGGGCACCTATACCACCACTCCTTCCCCACTCTCTAATATTCCTCCTGAGACATCAAAGTAGGGTCGCCCCAACATTTCCTGGTAAAATTGGGGCGAGCCTCATACTCTGGCCCAAATGTGCCACTTCTTAACTACCGCTGTTTCACACAAGAGCTAGAGTTCAGGTTCTGGTCCTCTCCCCCAGCACCAGGGCTGTAGAAGCTCTTCAGGGACAAGCACGTTGCTTCTCACTTCTCTGCCCTAAGACGGCTGTGGGCTCTACTCAGCTCTACCACTAACTCTGTGACCCTGGAGGCAGCCAGCAAACACCTCCCTGATTCTGCTTCCTCACCTGTAAATTGGCCGGGCGCCCATGGCCTGCAACGTTGGCAAACGAAGATCGGAAATCACACCAAAACCCAAAGCCACCCAAGTGCCGATGTGTCCAGGTGGCTTTCTGATTTACAAAACCTTACGTTGGCTGTGCACATGTGTTAAAACACACACACACTTCAGAATATCAAGTCTCTGCTGATATAAACAAAAAGCAATTCTCTCTTCAGAAATATTTCCTTTATATAACCGTCTTTATTCAGTCACAAACTAATTTTTAGCCATCTGATTTGAACAAATTCTCTCCTCCCAAGGCACTTGATTGAGGGCACAGTATTGTAGCATATAATTCATTATCATCATCATTATTTTCCACAACATTTAATACCCTGTTTCTTTCTCCAGGTAGAATATTACCCAACAGAAATCCCCAGAAGGAGCCACAGCACATTCATATCAAAGACAGAAAACTGTCTCCGTGTTTGCTTTCCTACAGGAAAGTTCAACTAATACAAAGTCAGATCGAATCAGCCCTGAAAGGAAACAGGACAGGCAGCCCCTGGTGGCCGTGACCTTTAACACCTCCGTGAAATGAGGGAAGAAAAGAGCCAAGCATCAGCTTCTGACCAAACTTCTATGTAACTTTAAACTACTCCTTTAAGCCACTATTTCTTTAGGAAACATTCTTCTGCCTCGAGGCTTTGAACTCGGGGCTGATTCCTCAGGGCCGTCCCTGGACAAGCAGGGGCGCCTGTGAAATGGGAAGAGATCTGGGAACGGCAGCCCCTCCGAGACTCCTGGTGGGCGCGTCCAGGCGGCTTTCTGATTGACAATTTTGGCTCAATTCAGAAGAGAAAAGATGGAAGAGAGACATCCCTGGGGAAAGGTGCAGCCTACTTCGGGGCAAGGCTGGCTTTTGGTCCCTTCAAGTGTTCACAGTTGGCCCTCCTGGCTCGTACAGTTTTCGGTACCTGAAAAGCAGCCTCCGACCCTGCTCCTCCGTGGTCTCTGAGTGCAGTTATTGTGTTCGAAACAGTCATGTCCCAAGTCAAAGGATTTGGGGCTTCCCCAGGAACAGCTCTATGTGGTACGTTCTGGTTTGATGAGCCTCTGACAAGTCTCAGCAGTCACCTGCTAACGTCCGGAGCAGATGTCCGGGTCCCAGTGTCCACATGTCCGGGGCTGGAAATCATACCAGGAAAGCAGCCCAGATGGACTGTTGCTGCAACTCTGGCCCATTCACCACTCAAACGTCCTATAAAATATTAAAACAGGTTAACTGGACGTGGCGGATTTAGCGGTACGAAAAGGCTTTATAAAATACTCCCTGAACTTTTATTAAAAAAAAAAAAAAAAGATGCATGTAAACATCGCCTCCAAGTCACAGAAGAACCCTGGAACCTTGTCATCTCATCTTCCGATGTTTTGCAGTTTTCCGTATCCAGCTTTCCTTGGGGATATCAGTCCGTTTTTTTCCTATTAACTGAGTTCTGAGGCTGCCTTTGAATATGAGCTTGTGGTCTGATTGGCAGAAACAGTATTATCAGGAGACTGAGGATGTGTAAATAAAAGTACATGGACCTAGGAATAAAAACACACAAAAGTTATATTTCAAACAAGGACACGAATGGGAAACGTCACAGGAACGGGACTGCATCATCTGCAGGGTGAAGACGAGGCACTGCTTTCGGAGGAGGGGGCATGTTTTAACTCAGGCTCGTCCTGGTCCCCCCCACAGATACTCCCTTTGGTGGAGAGAGGGACAGGGATGGACTGAAACTACAGAACCAGGCAGAGCAAAGCAAGCAGCCCGCTGTGAATAGGCCTGCGTACGATGTCTTGTCAATGTAATAAGACTCCGAGAATGAACCCACAAAAGCCAGAACTCAAAGTATATAGATGCACAGGACCAAATTCAAACTCTATACTATTATGTTCCCCACACACAAAGGCAATGGATACTTGAGCCCACGTGCTCTACTCAAGGGCACAGAGTTCTTCTCGGTTTATTAGGAGCCAGAAGAATCCAAACTTTGAAAACCTACTCCATGACTCTGAAAATAACTTTCATCCAAACGTATAAGAAGCAGGTTTTGCTTCTGATGTTTGTGGACTTTTACTGCATAAGTGTGGTATTCAGCACACTGGGTACAATGTAGACAATAAGCACTGGGCATATCAATAAAAGAAAGAAATTAGAAACAGGTTACATTGGTACAACTGTTCTATATCCACTCGGAAAAGTCAGACTTATACTTTCTCCAATGCTTTTTGAAGAGCAAAGGAAAATAATGTTAAAAAGGGAGGAAAATAATGTTAAAAAGGGAGAAAAATCCCATAGTTGATCTATGTATCATTCCTCATGCTGTCAGGCGTATTAGAATCACGTAACTTGAGCACCCCCTGAACTTCCCGACCCTTTAGCAAAAGGAATGTCTCCCTGAACATGTCTACAGAATAGTCAAGAAGCAAACGAATTTTGACTATCACAGTAGCAAACGAACCTTCATTTATTCTTTTAATGAGGTTGTACTGTTGAGAATGCACCAACGCATTAAGCTAGGGTCTACAGAAAGGCAAAGGCGCTGCCTCTTCTCTTGGGAGTAGAAAACAAGACAAGTACAGGAGTAACAGGAATGTGTTTTTTATGTTCAACAAACCCCTATTGTTGCTATTGTTATTGCTCTTACATTCTACCAGTCACTATACAAATATTGTGGTAGAGTGGATAATGCCCCTTTAAAGATATCCACACACTAATCCTCAGAATCTGTGAACATATTGCCTTACATGGCAAATGGGACTTGCAGATGGATCAAGTTCAGGATCTTAAAATGGAGAGATCATTCAGGATTTCTGGGTTGGCCAGTGTAATCCTCTAGTAAGAAGTATGCAGGACAAGTCGTAGTGAGAAACAGGAGATGTGAGGATGGAGTCAGGGGTTGAAGTGATGTACTTTTAAAGACTGGGGAAAGGTTCAGGACACAGGCAGCTTCCATAAGCTTCCTTTAGAAATTGTTAAGGGAACAACTTATTTTGTGATTCCATGTAAATTTTAGATTTATTTATTCTAGCCGGTGTGACTCAGTGGTTGAGTGTTGACCTATGAACCAGGAGGTCACGGTTCCCCGTCAGGGCACATGCCCAGATTCCAGGCTCAATCCCCAGTGGGGGGTGTGCAGTAGGTAGCAGATCCATGATTCTCTCTCATCATTGATGTTTCTCTTTCTCCCTCTCCCTGCCTCTCTGAAATCAACAAAAATATTTATAAAAGAGTATTTGAGTTTTAGAAAAAAGATTTATTCTAGTTCTGTAAAGAATGCCATTGGCAGTTTGATAGAATTTGCATTACATCTATCAATTGCTTGGATCAACTTACAATGTATGGACATTATAAGACTGTTAATTCTTATGGTATGTATCCTTCCATTTACTTGTATCTTCTTTAGTGTCCTATAGTTTTCCTAGGTATTTTTTAATGCACTTATACTAGTAAATGGGGTTGTTTCCTTAATTTTCTAATAGTTCATTATCGGTGTATAAAAATGCAACCAATTTCTAATTATTAGTTTTATATCCTGCCATTTTCTAAATTCTTGTATCAGTTCTAGTTTTGTTTTGTGTGTGTGTGTGTGTAATTTTAGGGTTGTCTATATATACAGAATGGGGCAAACGTAGGTTTACAGCTATGAGTACAAAAAGTTTATTCTTGTATTGTTTATAAATTATTGTATTACTTTCTCCTTTTTTCCATTGCTTTCCAGAGAGAGTGGGGGAAAAGGAGGGAGGTGGGAGAGAGAGAAAATCAATGTGAGAGTGACACATTGATTTGTTGCCTCCTATACACACCCTGACCAGGAAGGGGCGCAAACCTGCAATCTAGGTAAGTGCCCCTGACCGGGAATCAATCCCATGACCCTTCAGTGCAAGGGCTGACACTCTTAACTACTGAGCCCACCAGCCAGGGAGAATTATTGTATGATTTTCCATACAAACATCTGTAAATCTTCTTTTGTCCCACCCTGTAGTATCATGTCATCTGTATATAACGACAGTTTTACTTATTTCTTTCCAATTTGGGTGCCTTTCATTTCTTTTTTCTTATCTGACTGCTGTGGCTAGCGAGGACTTCTAATACTATGTTGAATGCCGATATTCTAGGATTTTTATGGTGGCAAAAATGGGCATCTTTGTCTTGTTCCTGATCTTAAAGAAAAAGCTTTCAGCTTTTCACCATCGAATATGATATTAGCGATGGATTTGTCAAATATAGCCTTTATTATGTTAAGGTATGTCCTTTGTATCCCCACTTTGCGGAGAGTTATTTTTTAATCATAAATGCATGTTAGATTTTATCAATGGCTTTTTCTTCATCTGTTGATATGATCATATGATTTTTACCCTTCATTATGTGTATGAGGTGTGTCATGTTAATTAATTTGCATTATTGAACCAACCTTGCATCCTGGGGACAAATCCCACTTGATCAAAGTGTATAATATGTTTAATGTACTGCTCTATTTGGTTTGTTGAGGGTTTTTGCATCCATGTTCATCAGGGAAATTGGCCTATAATATTGTCTTCTTCTTTTATTTTTTTTATTTTTGTAGTGTCTGTGTCTGTTTTTGGTATCCGGATAAAGCTGGCCTCATAAAAATACTTCGGGAGCCATCCCTCTTTTTCAAATATTTGGAATATCTTGAGGAGGATAGTTATTAATGCTTCTTTGAATGTTGGGAACAATTTGCCTGTGAAGCCAACCAGTCCAGAACTTTTGTTTGTTGGGAGTTTTTTTCATTGTTGATTAAATGTCTTTACTAGTAATTGGTCTGGTTCAGATTTTCTGTTTTCTTCCTGATTCAGCCTTTGAAGATTATATGTTTTTATGAATTTATCCATTTCTTCCAGGTTGTCCAGTTTGTCAGCATATAATCGTTTGTAGTATTTCCTTATAATCCTTTTTATTTCTGTGGTGTCAGTTGTCAATTTTCCTCTTTTATTTCTTATTTTATGTAGGCCTTCTTTCTGTTTTTTTTTTCTTAATGAGTATGACTAAGTGTTCTACAATTTTGTTTCTCTTTTCAAAGGCAAGCTTTTGTTCCTGTGATATTTTCTTTTTGAAATTTTGACTATTTTGTTTATTTTTAATGATCTTGCTTTTAATCCTCACCCAAGGGTATTTTTTTTTTCATTGATATTTAGAGTGGAAGGGAGAGGGGGAGAGAGAGAGAAACATTGATGTGAGAGAGACACATCAATTGGTTCCCTCCCGCACACGCCCTGTCTGGGGCTGGGGATCGAACCTGCGACCAAGGTACGTGCCCTTGACTGGAATAGAACCCAAGGGCCAATGCTCTAACCACTGAGAAAAACTGGCCAGAGTTCCACTTGATCTTTACTATTTCCTCCTAGTTACATTAGGCTTTGTTTATTCTTTTTCTAGTTCCTTTAGGTATAAGGTTAGACTGTTTATTTGATATTTTCTTGTTTCTTGTTATAGGCCTGTACTGCTATAAATTTCCCTCTTAGATGTACTTTGGCTATGTTCCATAGCAATGTGTGCAGTCATTGTATTTTCATTTTCATCTTAAATTCATTGAGACTTGTTTTGTGCCTAACACATGGTCTGTCCTGGAAAATGTTCCATGTGCACTTAAAAGAATGTATATTCTTCTGCTTTTGGGTGAAGTGTACTAAAAATATCAAGTCCATCTGGTCTAATGTGTCCTTTAAGGCCCCTGTTTCCTTCTTGATATTCTGTCTGGTTGATCTATTAATATGATGATGTCAATGGGCTGTTAACATCCCCTACTACACATTGCTGTATTACTAGCAATCTCCATCTTTATGTCTATCAATATTTGCTTTATAATTTAGGTGTTCCTACATTGGGTGCATAGATGTTTACAAGAATTATATTCTCTTGTTGTATTGTTCCCTTTATCAATATGAAATACCCTTCTTTGTCTCTTGTTATAGTCCTTAATTTGAGGTCTACTTTGGCTGATATATGTATTGCTCCTAGCTCTTTTTTTATTTCCTTTTGTGTGGAATACCTTTATCCATTCCTTTACTTTCGGTCTTTGTGTGACTTTTGATCTAAGTGGATCTCTTAGACACCAATGTACGGGTCTTTTTTTTTTCTTACCCATTCAGCCACCCCATATTTCTTATTGTAGCATTTAGTACATTTACATGTAAAGTAATTATTTATAGGTATTAATTATTGCCACTTTATTGTTTTCTAATTATTTTTGTAGTTTTTCCCTGTTCCTTTCATATTTTCTTGCTTTTTTCTCTTGTGTTGATGCCTTTTTATGGATTCACTTCTTTTTTTCTTGTATATCTCTTGTAAATTTTTGGTTTTTGCAGTTACCATGTGCTTCCTATAAACCAAGTTATGTTTATAGCAATCAGTTTTAAGTTGATGGTTGCTTATGTCTGAACACATTCTCAAATCACTAGTTTTTACCCACCCTGTGTATATTTGTTTTTGTCATTATTTTTTACTTCTATTGTGTCTATGTGTTAGTGTGTACCCCTTAATTTATTGTTGTAACTACACATAATCTTCCTACTTTTGTCTTTTAACCTTTGTAATAGCTTTATAATTGGTTAATCCACCGTTTTACTGTTTGCTTTTGCCAGTGAGAATATTTTTCTCTCTTGTATTTTCTCATCTTTTCTACTTTAAAAAGTCCCTTTATCATTTTCTGTAATACTGATTTATTGGTGATAAAATTCTTTTGTTTTTTCTTGTCTGTGAAATTCTTTATCTCATCTATAATTCATATTGATAGCCATTCTGGATAGAGTGATCTTGGTTGTAGGTCTTAGCTTTCCATCTCTTTGACCTACAGACTAAGGAATTTAAAGCTGAGATTTGAAGTCACTATAGAATGGAAACTGACTAGACAGAAAAAATGAAACACATCTGAAATTTAAGGTTAAGCAGTGAAGGACATACTGAGACAAGGATATACATACAACTGTGGCTCACTGCTGAAATTAGCTCCAAAGAAGGTAAAGTCTGGGATGCAACCAGCCCCTCCTCCACTAAAAGTCCATGCAGGTTTAATTTCTTTTATAAGATTTAGTGATTCGCTTAAGAGATTCTGAAAACACTTTTTGAAGAGACAATCTATAAGAGTTGTTGGTAATATATGGCTACTTCAATTCCAATTAATTAAAATGAGATAAAATTGACATTTCATTTTCTCCATCACACTAGCCAGGTTTCAAATGCTCAATGGCCACATGTGCTGGTGGTCAATGTATTGGACAGCATTTCTGTCACCGTAGACACGTCTATTAAACAGAGCTGCTCCGGATAAGGAATTTAAGTTATATATACAGGCATACCTCGGAGGTTCTATGGGGTCAGTTTGGACCACAATGAATATTTCAATAAAGTGAGTCACACAATTTTTTTATTCTCCACTGCATTTAAAAGTTATATTTACAATTGTAGTCTATTAAGTATGTACCTTAATTTAAATATACTTTATTGCTAAAAAATGCTAACCATCCTCTGAGCCTTCAGCAAGTCATAATCTTTTTGCTGGTGGAGGGTCTTACCTTCAATTTATACAATTGGCAATATCTGAGAAGCACAATAAAATGAGGTGTGCCTGTGTAAGTTGCTTTGAGAACAAGATAAAACATTAGGCTGAAGCATCTGAAATTGACAAAGTTAACAGAAATGTCAACTTCACCCTAAACAAAGGAGTTTTTGTTTTAATCGTTTAGATTGGTTTCAGAAAGAAGTGGGAATCTACTTAGGAGTCATCTGGATTGATGATTATTTGACTCTTACCCTAGAGCCCGGCCTAAGTGTAGGAATTAGCAGACTTTCATTGGTTAAATGCATGTCATCCCAAATAAATCACCATTTAGTGTGATCCCCAAGCAGTAATTTTCTTCCAAAATAACGTGTCCTAAAGAAATGTTTAGTAACTGTACTATTCATCTTGCTGTTAAAGGAACTCAGGTCTAGCACTTATTTGCTGTGTGAGTTTTGTTAAATTACTCACCCTCTCTGAGACTCCACTTCCTCATATGACAAATAGGGATACTGACAACTACCCTTCTCTTCTCAGCTCAACACCCTCTACCTGGGATTGATTCTGGTTCTGCAAACTCTCGGGTTTCTTGAGTCTTCAATGCACAGAGCTTCCTCCCAAGGGGGCTTGTCTCTGCTGTTGTCTATGTTTAGAGCAAATCCACAGTGTTCCACCTCACCCACCACCCTCACCCACGCTGTGCCTGCTTCACTCCTACGATGCAGTTTTCAGGACTTTAGCTCAAATGCCACTTCCTCCTAAAAGCCACCTTTGAGGCTCAGTCTGAGTCAGATTCCTGTTACTGTTCTCTTAAATCTTTGTACCATTCACTCATTGTGATGTTAGTGTATACTTACAAATTTGTCAATTACCACCTGTCTCTTCCAACAAGCTATCCCCTTCATGAGAGCAGGAACGAGTTCTACATTTTGCTCACCATTTTAGTCCCAGCTTCTAGAACAGTGCCCAGCACACTGTAGGTATTAAATAGCTTTGAGTTGAATACGGGCATTTCTATTATAATATGATACATATGTTTTTCCTGAAAAAATCTCACATTCAGCAGTATTCTGTTGCTTAAAGTACCTGGGCTTATGGGGGGACACCATATGAGAAGCAGACAACTCAAAACTTATGAGACTTTGTAACCAGAACAAATAGCACCTAAGTCAGCAAGCTGGACAGCCCAGGTAGATGCTCAATGGAGCTGCAGGCTGCTCGGGGAGGCGGGGGGTGGGGGGAATAAAACATAGGAGGCAATGAAGGCAAATGCTGGCTGGAGGGCACTGGAAGCAGGGGAAGGGGAATGGAGCTGTGAGACTGTGGGCTGCCCCAGGTGGAACACGGGGGAGGGAAAACCAGCTGAGAGCCAGCATGGTGGGGGGTGCCTCTAGGAGAGGGAGCCCAGGGAAGAGGTGCTCAATTTCAGGTGTCTTAAATAAAGCTGAGTGCCCCCTACCTCTGTAGTGGCTGAAATAAGGGCTCCCGCTCCCCCTCCCCTAGAGATTATCATTCTTTTCCTACTATACTGGTATCTCTTATCTAGAAAAATGTGTATATTAGTAAAACCCAACTCAATTTCCAGGTTACACTCCTATGACCTAATGAGTACGTAGGAACAGTTTTATTGATGAGTGTTGTATAGTTTTCTCTATCTGAAAAAAATCACCCTGTGACACCCATACTGGGTAGTATCTCTGATCATTTCTGACCAGTGAATCAACCACAGAAAATACCCAACTTACAAATAAGGCATGTTTGCATTGCTTATTTCGAAGTCACTTTTCTGACCATAGCTATGCTCCAAAGCTACTCTACAAAAGCCTGTGCAAACCATTACATAAATACAAGTTACCATTTACTGAAAACAAACTATATGCCAGGCACCCACGAGTCCTTCCCACATCTGCCTAGTTCAGTCCTAACAAAGGTGCCTTGAGGTGGATTCTATTCTTAGCCTCATTTTACAGTTGAGAAAATAAAAGGTGAAAGAGGTTAGAAACTTGCCAGAGGTCACACAACCACAATTTTGGAAGTAGTGGAGAAATGCAACTAATTCAACATAAGAACGAAACTAGGAGAGTGAGCAAGAAGAGGTTTGAACAACCTCTTCCCCAAAGGCCTCTTGTCTCTGGTGTGACCTTCCCCTCCATCCTAAATTCCACCTACTCCCCTCCACGTGTACCACGTGCCACATAAGTCCCATGCGCATCCAACAGAACTGCCGTCTCCCAGGACACAGCCTCCTGCAGGCCACTCAGATCAGCCACTCCCAGCATGGGCAGCGCCCCTGCACCTGCCACTCGTCCTGCTCTCAGAATGGCCCACGGTCTCCAACACAGCCTCGCCCCAGGAAGAAGAGGCTAAGGCGGCAGCTTCATCCTCTGAGTAACTCAGGTCCATCCCTTCAAAATCCACTACCATAAGCGGCCCTTAATTGTGTTACGAATGGCTGAAGGACTTGCGTCAGTTTTGCTAATGTACTGTTGTTTGTGAGTTGGGATTTCTAGGATGACCATGTCCATTCAATGGCCTTTTTTAGGAATTGAAGCCACATTTAGAAATTGTTAGTACTGGTTGATTCAATTGACTGAGTCCTGTGTCAAACACAGAGAAAACACATGTTTACTGAACAGCGGCTGAGAACGCGGGAACTTACCTGTATAAACTGATGGTGGGTTCAACTGCCAACATGACAAAGGGCGCCACTGTGTAGGAGACGGCCAGCTGCGTGGCAGCCCAGGTGGCCACGTCATAAGCAACCTTGAGGCCTTTCGAAGAAAGGAAGTAATGTCTACAGTTGTTCCTCACCTGCCAGGCAAAGGGGAAGGTAAAAAATAAAACACAACTGAGACTCTGCTCAAGCAGGTGCACCTTGGGAACATAAGGTCTCGGAAACACCGACCGTCTGAGTTCTATTTTCAACTAAAAATACCATCGTGGTATTTACAATTATTTAAAGAACTAAGCAAAAGCAATTTTTTCTTTTTTAACATCTCCCAGAGAAAAGCACTATTTAAAAAGTTGGCACTTATCCTTCCAGACTTATTCTATTCATATATACTCACTTTATATTTTCAATGGCATCAATATAATCTTTCGTCCTAGCTGGTTTGACTCAGTGGATAGAGCATTGGCCTCAGGACTGAAGGGTCCCAGGTTCAATCCCAGTCAAGGGCATATGCCTGGGTTTCAGGCTTGATCCCCAGTGGAGGAGGGTGGGAAGGCGTGCAGGAGGCAGCCAACCAATGATTCTCTCTCATCACTGATGTTTCTCTCTCTCTCTCTCTCTCCCTCTCCGTTCCTCTCTGAAATAAATAAAAATATATTTTAAAAAAATAATCTTTCATCTGCTTTTCTTATAAAGATTTTTAAATTGATTGTTATAGAGAGGAAGGAAGAGAGAGAATCATCGATAGGCTGCCTCCTGCACACCCCCTACCAGGAATCAAGCCTGTAACCTGGGCATGTGCCCTAACCGGGAGTCAAACTGCTGATCTTTTGGTGCCGGGGTCGATGCTCAACCAACAGAGCCACAGCGGACAGTACTTAATAGGTCATGATGTGGTGTTTTTTCCTTTCATATCAGTAAGTATTAATCCCCAATACAATTATAAGTTAATAATGGAAAAGTGAGCTTGGGTCCCACCCTCTGCTGTAGTGAACAATTCTGTGATGCTACCCTCGTAGACAAATCTCTGCAGTGTTTCCTAATTATTTCCTTTGAATAACAGTAATAAAGTAACATTAGCATTAATGATAAGAGCAGCTCCCATTTACGGAGTGCTCACTGCATGCCAAGCTTGTGTTAATGCTTACCCGTATGATTCTCTCGGCAAGCCTATCACGTGAGCATCATTATACCCTTTTGACAGACAGGGAAACTAAGAAATTCTTTGAAATAGACAATGCTGGGTTCAAAAGATATACTCATGTGGAGGTCTTCTGACACATGTGACTAGATTTGCTCCAGAAAGACACCTAATCTCCAGATCCGAGAAGCAAAGGCAGAGCTGAAACCAAGGCTGGCTGATTGGTAGGTCAGCCCCAAAGCAGGTGGCTGGTGAGTGGACTCCTCTCCTCATTCTGGGTTCCTCCGGACAGAAGCCCGAGGTCCATCCATGGTGGGGGCAGCGTGGGCAAGCATGTAGGAGATTATATTCCCAAGTCTAAGGCACTTCATACCTATTTGATTATATTCTGTTTGGGGGACAAAAAAAGGAGGGGTGGGGGGCGGAATACTCTTCTATGAACCCTCTCTGCTCCAACCCCACCTTACTAATTTGTACAAAATGTTTCCAGGCCACCCCCCAAAAAAATGTTTTACATCAATCAATGCTTTTATGTCAGTTGAGATCAATTAAACCAAAGACACTTTAAGAAATAATACTCTGAGTAAATTAACAAACAAAACTCTATCCTTTGTTTCTTAGTTTGTCCTGCTCTCTGTTTTCAATGTTCTTTTATAATCCAAGTGTAGGTATATAAATTGGAGAACAGAAAATGCCTTCCCTGGTTTCTATGCACAAATAGATACAATGTATATTTAATTTTTAAAGTGTGCTAATCAGCATGAATGGTAATCAGTTATCCATACTGTTTACACATATATCCCAACAAACCTTCATCTAACTAAAATTTCCATTGGGAGAGGGGGGACCTCTTGTTTTTGCTCACTACAGTAGCTTAGCACCTAGAACACTGAAGTAGGGCTCCTAAAATATTCATAGAACAGATACATTAAAGGAAAAGTGAATAGCTTATACAGTTCAACAAATGTCATTTAAAGCTGTCGGCACATGAACAAGAAAGGCCACAATCATTATCATAGGCTGAAATAAAATCAAATATAAAACTCGGTATCTGATAATTAGAGCATACTGAATTGCAGTTACTTATTTCATATTCATCTCATTCTTTGAGAGAAGGCTTATTTTTATTCCTTTATTATCCTGCTCTACTGCCAGCAAAATGTAGAACTGTCTAGGGACAAACTTCCCAAAAAACCTAGAGAACCAAATTTATAAAATCCAAAGGATTTTACACAAACTAATTCAATTGGATCAGCAAATGAGAGTTTGGAGCAATCTCCAACAGAACACAGTTCCTGTGGCTGTGATTTTACTGGCTGCTTACAGACTGAATTATTTCTGGGCTTAGGATAATGAAATGAGAAATGAAGTGAAGTATAAGTGAAATGAAGTGTTACAAAGCCTACATTAATTAATAATCATTGTCACCTGTGAATAGTAGATTGTATATGTTCACAGCCTTTAATGATTTAAAATGTTTTCATCTCTTAAGTTCCTAAACGGTGCTCCTAAAATTCCTTTTCTTTTGCAAACACACTCTGTAAATAATGTGAAAATAAAATGATAAACCATTTGATGACCACAACCTCCTAGATACTGAAGTATTTCTCTAATGGAAAGACTTCTGTTTGATTTTTTTTCAAAACATCACTCCTACCCTCTCATCTCCCGACTCCTAATAGGACTAAATGACAACATACATTCCTAAGGAAAAGACCCCACAACCAAAGCAAGCTTACCGTCCTGGCTGCTACTGTGACGAGGATTCCAGTTAAGAAGGTGAAATAGTACCCAGGGTAGACACCATGCCACAGGGCAGACAGGATGAAGGTGAACACTGTAGGGTACCAGGGGACACGCTCGTAGCACACTCTGTGAAGAGAGGCAGGCACGACCAGTCACAGGTCAAACAAACCAGAAACCTCCAGCTACACTGGCATCTTTTCGAATCAGACTTTACAGACATCAATTGCTCCATTCCTGACAACCTGCCTGCCTAACCCTATTCAGGGATTTGCAATGTAGTCTAAGCAGCCTGAACTCGAGTTTTCTTGAACACTATCAGGTAGGCAATTCACATGAACTTTTAACCTCCACAGAAGTACATGGTCTGACCCCATTATTCCATCCTATTTAATAAAAGGGTAATATGCAAATAGACCGAATGGCAGAACCAATCAAAGCATAATATGCTAATGATATGCTAAGGATGCTCAACCACTTGCTATGACAGGCACTGACCAGCAGGGGGCAGACAGTCAACTGGTCAACCAGTCGATATGCTGTGCACTGACCAGCAGGGGGCAGACAGTCAACCAGTCGACCAGTCGCTATGACATGCACTGACTACCAGGAGGCAGATGCTCTAACCGCTAGGTTAGCTTGCTGCTGGGGTCCGGCCGATCAGGACTGAGTGAGATGGACCGGACATGCCCTGGGAGCCCTCCTGTGATCCCTCCTCGGCCTGATCATGCACCGGTAGGGTCCCTCAGCCTGGCCTGTGCCCTCTCGCAATCCAGAACCCCTCAGGGGATGTCGGAGAATCAGTTTCAGCCCGATCCCACAGGCCACTCCCCTTGGGAGGGCCCCAGATGCAGAGCTCATGGCTGGAGAGCCTCTCCCGATCGGGACTGATTGGACGTGAGCCCACGGCAAGAACAGTGGGGTCGGGATGAGCAGGAGCAGCAGGCAGGAGCTGCAGGTGGTGTTGGACTATGGGTTTTGGCCCAATCCCTGCAGGCCACCCAGAGCAGTGATGGTGAACCTTTTGAGCTCGGCGTGTCAGCATTTTGAAAAACCCTAACTTAACTCTGGTGCCGTGTCACATATAGAAATTTTTTTATCTTTGCAACCATACATAGTAAAACAAAGACGTATATTTTTGATATTTATTTTATATATTTAAATGCCTTTTAACAAAGAAAAATCAACCAAAAAAATGAGTTCGCGTGTCACCTCTGACACGTGTGTCATAGGTTCTCCATCACTGACCCAGAGGGACCCCACCCTAGTGCACTGGGCCTCTAGTCTATCTAATAATAGGGTGATATGCAAATTGGCCAAGATGCCGTCACAGTAACAACCGGTCAGTAGGCTAGGTGCACAGCAGGCGCGGGTGGGCAAGGACTTACAGCGCGTGAGCCGGCGGTCCTGAGGCACACAGAGGTCCGCAGGCCTCCGCCATGGCCCGCTGGGGGCAGGGCTGAGGCAGGAGTCTCCGTGCACCTGCACTGGGGTCCAGAGGCCTCTGCCGCGGCCTACCCCAGCTCCGGCCTGCCTCTTTGGGGCAATCCATCAAGAAGCCCCAGATGGGTGGGCAGGGCCTACCTCTTTGGAGAGATGGCTCGCACGGATCCCGCACTGTGACAGGGCACAGGCCGGGCTGGGGGACCCTGCCCCAAGTGCACGAATTTCGTGCAGTGGGCCACTAGTATCTAATAAAAATCCAAGTGGTCAGGCTCTGGTCAGCCCCTGCCAACAATGATCTAATCTACCAGGAATAATTATGGATAAATAAGTGCCATTGGCACTGAAAACCTTGGGATCAGGATACGGTTCTTTAGAAGCAGATATCCTCATTTAGTGTAAATTAATTTGCCTTTTCAGCCTAGCCCCTGTGCCATAACCAGCTCTGCAATCTTTTTCACCTCATTTGGGAATGACTCCAGCCCAAAATCAAAGTGTCGGTTGTAGGGCCTTTCAGTTCTCACTGTGCCCACTGGATTTCAATCCATGAAGCTGCCTTAAAGAGTGATAGTGTGTGGATTGAGAAATTGTCAGCAAAACACCCGGGAGAGCGTTGGCGTCTTTGTTGATTATTAACACAGAGTAGCAGGGGGCTTTCTCCCAAGCTCAGTCTGAGAACTGCCAATGCACTGAAAGGGGGCCACTGCAAGGTTTAATAAACGAGAGGACCCAAATGGAACATAAAATAGAAACTCAAACAGCTAACACCAATCCTGCACTATATGGATTGTCAAAGGTAACTGGTTTAAACCCAAACTAAGGATATGGCTCCCTCTTCGTGGAAAAACAATGCATTTGGGGAGAAAAACAGGACTGGGACCCATTTGTATAATGTTTCTTTCTTAAAATGAGGAATAGTTTGCATAGGTACTTGTTTCTTACCCTCTTTATCTTTTTTATAAATCAAGTCATTTTTTTTTCATTTTTTATGTGGATACATATATGTTCAGTCATCTTAAAACAAACTCCTAATGGAGACTAAAACTCTTGGCACATTGGGATTACTCAATATTCAAAATTATTTGCAAAATTAATAGCAATAATATTAAGGATAAATTTGCAAAAATTGCATGTTTAGATCAATTTTCAGACAACACTGTGGGAGCTTACTTTGGGGGAATTACTATACATTGTCACTTGTTTTCACCTAAGAAAAATGCTACTTACCAACAGCAGAATCTACAGCTTCGCATTTCTATACTCTCCTTGCACTTATATGATAGGAATATTCACTAGCTAGAGTTTCAAGGATAGCATATTACCCCGGATAACATATTATCAGTTCCATAATAAGTTATGTTTTTAATTTTGGAATGTGTAAGGAAACAGAAATAGCAATAAAAATACAAAGTTTAAAAGCACAAACATCTGAGGTAGGATAAAGCTTTCAATGCTAGGGATAAATACCAGGATTTCAGTGGTTAAATGCTGACAGTGTCTGTCTTTGACGTCTGATCAACAGGCTGTCCTTTAGGTTAGAGGTAGCGCAGCACAGAGGTTAAGAGCCTGGCTCTACAGATGGTCTGCTTGGGCTCTTATCTATTACTCATTAGCTGTGTGACTTTGGGCAAGTTACAGAACCTTTCTGTGCCTCATTTTGCTCATCTGCAAAATGGGGATAATAACACCAACATCTCATACGATTAAATGAGTGCCTGGTACATAGGAATGGCAGGATCAATTGTCTGATACATTAAAATAAACATGCCACGCCAAAACCGGTTTGGCTCAGTGGATAGAGTGTCAGCCTGCGGACTGAAAGGTCCCAGGTTTGATTCCGGTCAAGGGCACGTACCTGGGTTGCGGGCACATCCCCAGTGGGAGATGTGCAGGAGGCAGCTGATCGATGTTTCTCTCTCATCGATGTTTCTAACTCTCTATCCCTCTCCCTTCCTCTCTGTAAAAATCAATAAAATATAAAAAAAAACATTTAAAAAAATAAATAAACATGCCATATTATTTGATCTTCTCAAATCACTATATTTCTACTTTTTTTTACTTAGAGGGCATAGATGTTCATACAAAACAAAAGTGTCAGATGACAATACTACTATTGCTGTTCATCCAACAACTCCCATCTAAACATATCCCAGTGCTGTGAGGAATGAGGTCGTGTTTGTTTTTCTTACCGCTTTAGCCAAGTAGCTGTCTGAATATTCCAGTTTCCTAGGTACATTCTGAAACTTGTAGCAGTCTGAAAAGAAGAAAATAACACCTATCATTAGCTTTAAAAATACTCCAAGTAATGGAAAGTCCTCCCCAGAATTTCCCTGGCAGCAGACCAGATGTGCTGGTTCACTAGTGACTAGTCGGTCAAGAGTACATCAGCTGTTCCACTGAAGGCAGGAACATCCTGATGTTTATGAGACTGACAAACACTTGGCTTGCAAAGTCTCAATTTTTCTCAATTTATTTTCAAATTATAGGAAAACTTGAAGGAACGTTTTGTGGGTTTTCCATCCTCTCTGGTTTAAAAAAATTTTTTTAAGTCATCTGAATTTTAAAACTAAATACCTTAAAAGGGGATTTGCCCTAGGAAAAGTTTAATCGTGTGAATTGAGTGCCTTTATGGAGACAGCTGCAATTTTATCGTCACCTTTTCACTGTGTTGCCTTCTATAAACTAGGTCAGTCTTGTGAAGTTATTCTACAAACAGCTGCACAGGTTCAAATGCTTCCCATTGTATTTAGAATAGTGAGAGATTTTACACATGAAGGAGTCACAATACAGAAAAGAAAAGAAAGAAATATCACCAAACTGGCAATGACACAAAGAAATCAACCTCTGAGGAAGACACATTCCAAAACAAGCCATGAAAAAGGTTTCCTCATAAAAAAAAAAAAAAACAACGATATTATCAAAGGCTGGTTGGAGGTGGAAAGCATGAAACAAACATTCAAGAACCAGATGCCTAATGAAGGTGGAAAGTACAACTGCCACTTTTTTCTGTTTCAACCATAAGAAAATCCTAGGTCCCACAGTGGCCTAATGTAATATGTTTAGAAAGAAAGAAGAGGAGAGAAGAAGAGAGCTCATCAATAGATGTTAATAGAAAGATTTTGTATTATGAGTTTTTATTTCAAAACCCTAAGGACTTCTAGGTATCCCTATCTTCTATGGCTAATAAAATGTTATACACACAGCTTGTAGGAACCTTAACTAAATTGGACTTCCTTGGTTTTCTTTAGCTCTTTCCTCTGTATCAACTCGATTAAAAATGCAAAGTTCTTCCTTCTGGTTCTCCTTTATAACAAATACGTAACTTAATAAGTTGGCCCTTCACCCTGAACACATGCCCAGTGAAATGACTGTCTTTGTGTGCACAGTGGAGGACCTGGGGGGCAGCCGGAGGTCAGAGGGAACCGCTGTGAAGGACATTCACCCACAGCAGCCAGCAGTGGTCCCAGAGTTCTGAGGGAGAGAAGAATTTTGGTGGAAATAGGGAGGCAAGCCATAACACCTTCAGACTACCTCTGACATCATCTGTATAAGAACGAGAAGCATGGTGATTATCTACGTTGCTTTTCTGAAAATGAGAAAGGTTGTGCTAGAGCAGTGGTTCTCAATCTTCCTAATGCCGCGACCCTTTAATACAGTTCCTCATGTTGTGGTGACCCCCAACCATAAAATTATTTTCGTTGCTACTTCATAACTGTAACTTTGCTACTGTTATGAATCTGCATGTAAATATCTGATATGCAGGATGTATTTAGGTGACCCCTGTGAAAGGGTCGTTCGACCCCCAAAGGGGTCAAGACCCACAGGTTGAGAACCACTGTTCTGGAGGCTGGAGCTTGTCCCTTGAAGATGAAGAGAAGACTCAGGCATCAAGAAGGTGGAAGGTATCCACCCTCCCCCCCCCCCCCCCCCCCGGCCCCACAAGGCTTCTTGTGGCCTAGTGTCCACCCAGCGTGGGTAGCAGGTGGAAACTCTCCACAGCCCTGGCTTCTTGCTCTGTCTACATATCCCCTCCAGCCACAAACCCGAGTCACCTGGCGGAAGAACCAACACTCTGCCTGCAGAGAGCCATGCCCTACTCCATCCCGCTGCCAGGGGAATAGGGTCTGCGGCGTGGTCTTCCTGTCAGCTCTGACTGCTGACAAGGCCTAGGAAGCCAAGTGACATGGCCCCAAGGAGACCACCTGCAATGATGAAGACACAGGAGCGCAAAGCCAGAGAAAGAGAAAAACTGCACTGCCTCCGGGGGCCTGGAAGCTCTGTGCTATGGCAATTCTTCCGAAACACAACTGGATTATCACTGTTCCCAAAGGAACCACAAAGAGCACGTGTAAAATTGAAATCTAAATGCAGAGGCTTCGTCTGTGTTCTTTGTTGTTGTTGATGTTAATCCTCACCTGAGGAAATTTTTCTATTGATTTTTAGGGAGAGTGAAAGAGAAGGGGAAAGACAGAGAGAAACATCAATGTGAGAGAAACACATTGATTGGTTGCCTCCTGCACGAGCCCCAACCAGGGCCCAGGAGGAGCCTGCAATCAAGGTACGTGCCCTTGACCGGAATGGAACCCAGGACCCTCTGGTCAGCAGACCATGCTTTATCTGCTGAGCCAAACCGGCTAGGGCCAGTCTGTGTTCTTGACTGAAGGAAGTAGAATGTGAACAAGAGAAAATGGATTCTGTACTTCAAGTTGAAAGCACAGGGATGGAAACAACAAAAAAAGATTTTCCTGGCTCTTTTTTTCAGATTTTCTTGTGTAATTATTCCTTGAACCACTAAAACTATCAAGAAAGTATCTTTTAAAAAGAAAACAAAACAAAGAGGAAAAATATTCCCAGATGCACCAAGTCCCAGAGACTGCTGGCCCTGGCATTCCCTATAGCAGTTTTCCGCGCACATCGACGAAGAAGACCCCTGGACACTGCACTCAACGTAAACCACTGCTTTATACGCGATCGCAGCTGGATTCAGAAGCACAAAAGACTCACCTCAATTTTCCAGATGTTTAGGTTAGAAAGCAGATCCCAACAGAAATTTCCGTTCTGATCCACTCCGCTGAACCCAAAGCCAGCTGCGTTATTCACGGCATCAGCTGTGGTTTTCAAAACAACACGTTAGGATACGGAACAAAGGTCACATGGTCGCTTTAAAGGATTCCAACATCTGTCTCGCTTTAAGACTGAGAGGTAGGTGGCAGTGTCCTCAGAAAGGACACCAAAAAGATTTACAGGGCCTGGTGCCATGGTGAATCGGAGAAACATGGTTGGCTTTTTGGTGACCTCAATTTTTATTCACTTTTATTCATTCACTGGCTGTGAGTGAGCACCTGAGAGGTAAGAAGAAGGGCACTAGATGCTCATAGAATACAACATGGGGATGAGAGGAAGGGAGAACCAAAACGAAGCAAGATACAGGAGGATTAGTGACCAGCTGGATATGGGAGGAGAAAGGGAAGAAGGGAAAAATACACTTAAGCTCAGAAGCAGAGACGGGAAGAAGAAACGAGGGACCCGTGGAGGTCCAAGAGCTGTCATCAGACGGCAGGACAGTAACTGAGGTCCAAGAGCTGTCATCAGACGCGTAGACAGCACTGCGTCGGGAGACCCAGCTTTGAAAAGGAAAGTGCAGCTCATTCCGAACGTATGAAGCGTGACAGGCTGGAAGGATATCAGTTGGGGCTGCTGAGATGCAGTTAGGAACGTTCAGATTACAAGAAGAAGGAGAGAGCTAGAGATGTGAGTCGGGGGCCAGCTGCCATGGAGACCACACGTGGACACAATACCAAAGCCGTCCCACCCATAAGTCCCTCTGAAAGCTCCTGTTACCATCGTTAGGTGACTTCACGGAACCCTAGGAAAGGTCCCTTGCAGGGAGCAATGCTCATCAACTCCTTTAATGAAATGCTTTCTGTAAACAAAGACCTGATGAAAGCAATATACTTTTACTACAGTGACCAAGAGGGCCATCCTCTCATCCAGTTGTCTTGTTTCAAGTTCACTGGTTATTTTTTAAAAGAAAATACGGTAATAAAACTGATGAAAGCTCAGCACGGCAGGTAGAGCCTGCGATCGGGAGGAGAAGGTAGAAGACCTCCCTCTCGTACAGCTCCGTTCCTCTGGGTCTACAATTCAGGCCCAGCTCCAGAGGGACTTCTGAAGGCTGCTCTACAGGAGAACACCCTGCTCTGTCTCCTGCATAGTTGATGGTTTGACGTTGCTTATCTTACACTCGGCTTCGCCGTAAAACCATCTGGTTTCTTTTAGAAGAGAGGAGAAGAGTGCTGAGTCCTGCTACGTCAGTCTCCCAGGCCCACAGGATGGGAGCTCAGTGGAAAAGCAAAGCAAGAGTGGGCCAGTTAAGAAGCTAATAGTTTTAACTGTGTGGGCACAGATGTGTGGAGGCCAGAAGATAAACTAATCCTGGGGGAAGAGCCCTGGAGGCCTGTGTTGACAACTGAAAACAGGACTGGACCGGCCGTGCTGGGACCCCTGAATGCCTTGTCCCACCTCCAGCCTCAGCTCTGGCTGACCAGCCTGATCTCAAAAGACCAGAATAACTATCCTGTGTTTGTGTGTTTGCGCACGAACACACTTGCTATCTTTTAGGGCTCTATAAATCACTCTACAGGCATTTCTCACGGAATACAGCTCACAACGGCGTGAACACAGTGGTGAGGGGCGGACTCTGGGGGTACATCTCCTAGGTTCCTCTCTCCACTTCGGGATCAGAGTAAATGCAGGGCCTTGGGCGAGTTCTTAAACCTATTCTTTTGAGTATAAAATGGCTATAATAATGTTACCTATTTTAAAGGGATGTTGAAAATTGGCTTTATATTGTACATGACTCCAGTACATCATTACAGATAAATTAACTCAGACACCCATATTTTATGGTTTGTGATCTCTAGAACACAGCCTGGGCTAAAGTTGAGTCTCACTAATTAGTAGGGGGCTTGGGGAGGACAGAATTGTACACTAAATCCAAAGAAAATAGCTGTATTATTTCAATATAAACAGTAACTAGAACTAGGCTAATGCAGTGTAGCTCAGCTAAGATCCATCAAGAGGCCAACTTTAAGGATTAGATTTATAATCATGTATAATTAGTACATCAATTATATGTAAATGGTGTTTTAAGCAGCTGGATAAAACAATTATTCAGTTAAGCAGTTTAAATATTCCCTGTCATACTATTCACTGCTTCTTTATTTATAAATAATACACAGGTTAATTGCAGACCAGCCCACGCAATCTAAACTGTAACGAACTTCAGATTGAGGCCATACACATTAACAAAGCGTTCTATGGAAGCTACCAAAAAAAGATAAGGGGGGGGAGGAGAAAAAGAGCCAAGTCCCCAGAGAAAGCTACCCACAAAGCTATTCTATACTCCAAAAAGCTGGGGAGCTCCCCACAGCACAGAACAGTGCCAGGCACCCCGTTCCCTGGGACCCCCTCCCCACGTAGACCCGCCAGCACAACCCACCTCGTGTTAGACTTTCCCTATGAGGCCATGGAATGGCCTTCCTTTCCTCCTTAAAGCAGGAGCTGATTCAGTCCAGAAGCCAGCCCATTACCCTGAGATACAGAATGTGGGAGTGGAAGGGGAGGGAAAGGAGAGAGAAAAGGAGGACAAGTGAGGAAGTAGAAGGTTGTAAAGGGAGTGAGCAGTTCTCTCTCAATCTTACACACACACACACATACACACACACACACACACACGCATGCGTGCATTGAGGTGAGAGCAAAGTGAAAATACAATTTCACATAGGAAAATAGCCTGGTGTTCCAAGTAAAGTTCCAACCGTAATAGTAAAGTATGTCCCAAAATTCACGCAAGAAGTAATTTTGATAGAAAACACAGGTTTATAATTAAAAATTGTAAATTTTTTATTGATTCATAAAGTGTACAGTATAGGGTTATGTATGGAATAGCATATCGGGTAAATGGCCTCCACGGCTTTGGTGGCACATACACACTCTTTTGTTATTGCCTGAGCAGCCGCATTTTCGAAGAAGAATGGTCCGATGATGCCTCCAGCCCAAAATCCTCAATAAAAAAAATTTACAATTTTTAACTATAAACCTGTGTTTTCTATCAAAATTACTTCTTGCGTGAATTTTGGGACATGCTTTATAAAGCCTACCTACTAAGGAAATGACTTTTAGATAATAAAGCAACTGCAGAAAACGGAATGAGATACAAGGAGACTGATGACCATATTTATCACCTCCTCTGCCCACCCCTGGGACAGCCCCTGATGTGAACTGCCTGGTTGGTGCCCACGTCTGTGTTCCCACAGAGTGTGACAATCTTGAGGATGGAAAACATGTCTTATTTTTGAATGCCTCGTAGCACAGAACATGGTACTCAACAAGAACTCCCTGAATTAAACTGAATGTGACAAGGAACAGAATTTTAAGAAGCTCTAAGTGAGAGTTCTCTGGCCAAATGTTACATAGATACTATTTTGGATCAAACTTCTCCCTGAACAATGACCCTTAAAAAAATGTGGACCGGGAGCTGGGGAGCTAACTCTGCTTGATGGATAGAGTTTTTGCTTGCGGTGATGGGAGCCGCTCTGGAAGTAGAGGGTGGAGATGGTTGCACCTCAATGAACTCAGTGCCACTACACTGCACACGACAGATGGTAAAAATGGTAAATTTCTGTTATGTATACTTTTACCACAATGAAAATAATAAATGAAAAAAATAATTTAGTAGCTACACCTTGGGATTAAAATCTTGGAGCATAAAATGAGAAAAGAGGAGCTCAGTACTGCCACGCCCTCACTCATGAAATATGGACTAAGCACTGGGATCTGAGTTTAATAACCTACTCAGCTTTATAAACAGTCACTGCTCTGGGACATCAGCTACGAGGTTAACTCCCATTCTTGAACAGGTCCCGATGTAAACACAACAGCGGCCGTGCCTTGTCAAAGCCCTTTACCATTCCTGGTAAGTAAATGGAAGGTGTACTGCTCCCTGCAGCTAAGCTGTAAACTTTTCCAGTCTAAAACTGTTTGAAAAGAAGAGAAAAACTTAGTACTGACTAAGTTACATAACAGGGAAAGGAAAAAGTGTGTTAAAACCAAATTAAGTTGAACTTTCTACCTTAAAAAAAAAACAGTTGAAGTCAGCTTCTCTCCAAGGCATAAAGCTTAACCAACTATTTCTTTAAAAGTGTAACCTAAATTGGCATATGTGTGGGTCACATTAATGTGACTCCAGCATTGTATACAGCCCAGAAAAATTACAAGCAAGCCAGGTCGTTCTGGAATCCTCCCCTCACCTCCCACTGCACCAAATGGCCATTTGATTGGGGGGGAGAAGCAGCTTCCTAGGCGAATCATCTGTTAATAACATTGGGTTTAAACCGCAACCAGGACTGCTTTTTCCTTATCACGTACAGTCGGGTTTATGATGGCGGCAAAGAGGAGAGGTCCCTGGGGAGCAGAAAATGACGCTGACTCCACTGCTTCCCATTACGTATTGGGCTTTTTTTTGGTTAGGTGATCTGAGTTGTTGTTCTGGCAAAGCCATACAAGCAGTGTCATTTCCCCCCCTCCTTTATTTAGGGCCACTCCATCAAACTTACCTAACGTCCAGGCCAAGTAGTACTTGGGCTTTGAGGCTTGCATGACAACATATAAGTAGCCCAGCCGCGTCAGAAAGTTTGCCTTATGAACAAACCAGTCATCAGCCAGGCTGGTGACCGGGAAGGTCTTCGTGAGCGTCAAAAACAAAAGGAGAGACACGCCGGTCACGCACAGCTTGTGGATCACCGCTCCCTGAAATGAGGAGAGAAAGTCAGGGGATCGCTCAGAAGATCCTGTAGGAGGAAGACAGTTTGACGAGGGCCCGTGGAGAACAAAGCTGTTCGGACAGCTGCTCTGGCCACGTCCCTGACAAAGTGGTGACAGGCTTTTTTCCTCACAGCACAAATGGCATGACGGGCACGGTGCTCTATTTAGATGCAAAGCACACTTCACACTTGAGGACTGAATGCATCTAAAATGGAACAAAACTTTTACCAGCAAATTCTACCAACGAAGGAGAGATGGTTTCATTACCCAAAACATAAGAGAAACAGGTACTACAGGGCGGCAGTCTTCCATTCGAAAGAAATAGTCATTTGCCTTCCACTTCTGTAGCCAGCAGCCAAGGAAATGGGTTTGAATGGCCAGCAGTGAGGACAGAGCTTAGTTCGGAAGATTCTGTGCGTGTGAAGGATAAATGTAGCCCACTCTGAGGTTAAGATGTACTGACATTTTATTTTATTTTGCTAATCCTCACCAGAGGATATTTTTTCCCCCAGTGATTTTTACAGAGTGGAAGGTTGGGAGTGGGAGACAGAGAGAGAAACATCGACGTGAGAGTGACACATGGACTGGTTGTCTCCCCCACACCACCCCAACCAGGGCCAGGGACCGAACCTGCAACCCAAATACATGCCCTGGACGGGAATCAAACCTGAGACCCTTCAGTGTGTGGGCCAACGGTCTAACCACTGTACCAAACCGTCAGGGAATGTACTGACATTTTAAATTCCTCTTGATGGAGTGATTTTGCCCAGTTTTCCTGGTATTCCAGGGAATGTCATTTCACATCAACACAATTATAATTCCAACTTTATAAAAACAGACGCCTTAACTGTAGTAAAGGGATAGTAATAGCACCTCCCCCAGAGGGTGGGCTGGGTTTTAAGGGAATGAATATAAGGAACCGAGAACAGTGTCTGGCTCCCACTTAAATGCTCACCACGCTTAGCCACTGATGGGGCACCAGTCCCCCCACTTAGCTCATGGGTGCCAGCCCCTCCCATCAATGTGTCTCTAGCCAAAACATAACTTCCCCACTTCACTTTGTCTGTGCACAAAAATGCAAGTCTCCCAGAGCAGTGATGGCGAACCTATGACACGCGTGTCAGAGGTTACACGCAAACTCATTTTTTTAGTTGCTTTTTCTTTGTTAAATGGCATTTAAGTATATAAAATAAATATCAAAAATATAAGTCTTTGTTTTACTATGGTTGCAAATATCAAAAAATTTCTATATGTGACACAGCACCAGAGTTAAGTTAGAGTTTTTCAAAATGCCGACACGCCGAGCTCAAAAGGTTCGCCATCACTGTCCTAGAGAGTGATATTCATTAAGACTCAATAATAATATTTTCTAAGCAGAAGCATGTGAAATACCAAAGCACTACTGTGACAGACACTGTGGAAACACCTGTGGTTACTTTGGTGTCTTATCGCCAACTTCACTCCTACGTTGTTTCAGTAACAAGTTGGGGCTGAGACATTTGACGAACTAGAAGGTGTGAGGAGCCGTGTCAAAACCATCTGAAAATTCATGCTTAATTAATAAATCACTTAAATTTTCAAATACTGAATTTTGCCTAAATTTTAGCATTTATGAAATATTTAAATTATTCCGATTTTCTCCCTTATCCAATTTTCCCCATTCCTTTAATTAACGACAAATGTCCCTTAAATATAGGATAGTTTATCTAAGTTTACCATATTTGTAAAGTTCACTGTTACCCTATGTAGACCACTTTGAGATGAATACAATTCAGATTAAAATTAAAACATTATTTCAAAAACCATCTTAAACTCTCTCAAAGGCACTAAAACCAAGCTTTGGGCAGTGTAAAACTGGTTTCCCTGGAAACAAGCGGGTTCTCCAATAAAAAGCACATTTATTCTGGTCCCCACTTCCTCCCCCACCACCACCTTTTATGAATATTATCCTTTGGCTATGTATTAATTTATATTCATAAAGACAAAGCTCCCATAAATTTGAATGTGTTAGCTAGTACAGTACTAAGAACATTGTGGGCACTAAATATTGGCTGGTTGACTAATGGATCGATTGCTTTAATATTCCCAGCCAATGACCAGCTCTGTGAAATAAGCATCTGTTTCTCCAATACAGAGAACTGCAAAATAAATACCAGTATCAGTATTTTAAACAAATGGAGGGAAAAGTTATTGGCCAAACTTTCTGTTAAACAGCTTGGCTTTTGAATTAGAACAATTATTAGTGAGAGTCAGCCCTGGCAGCAAAACTCTATACTTGGGGCCTCTGGGTAAATACCTGGCACTAAAAACTTACAGTGGGAGAAGGTTCTGGCAGGCTGTGGGAGCCTTTTTCCTTCCAGTTCACTTCCAGCAGCTTCATGTGTACATGTCTACCCTCGATGAAGGCTATATAGTCCTTGAAGTTGTTACACGGTCCAGCTATGACACTCATGAAGTTGAGAAGGTAGCTTAGGTATTCCAAAAAAGAGGGTTTTACTCTGTGAAAATAAAGTTTTTTTTAAAAGGTTGAAAGTATTCAATCTTTAATTTTTCTTTCATATTTTCAAATAAGCAAATCGTAAACACAAGTGTTACCTTTACGGTTTATTAAACGTAACAGGATCTTTCCTTGTTCTGTTTCTCTAAAATTCGCCTAAGAGAAATCTTGTTGAAAGGAAAAGTTAATGAGGTGAGTGGCTCAGAGAGGAGGCAGCACTCCATGGTGCCCTCTGCTGGCTGGTCACTGCTATAAGCATGGAAGGAGGGGCCTAGAGCAAACGTAATTCTGAGGCTGGGAAATGCTTTCTCATCAACCTTAGCCCTCTACAGGGGAAGGTGAAGGTAATAAAGATAAGGGGTGGGGGGAGGTGGGGAGGATCCAAACCTACTGTTAGTTGATTGAGATGCTTCCAAATAGCAAAACTCCCTCCCAATTACTAAAATAAACACAAAACGAAGGATGGGTGGAACCAGTTTCTACCTGAAGAAGCCACACAAAAACACCACTGTAACAGTCTCTTGTCTGCTTTGGCATCCAGGCGTGAGGTCAATAGACAAGGGTAGCAGCAGGGAAAAGAGTCTGCAGGAGCCATGGTGTGTAGTCCTTTCATGGCATTTGGAGGGGCATGCTCTTCCAGCAAGACAGAATTGTGGGGAAAGGCTTTGTGAGATGCTATTGGTGACGAGTCACCGGGGTTATGCCTATAGCACTTACACACCCATAATGCTCAGCAAAGAGCTTGACTCAGTAGACTCTTCCAATGATCTTCCATTGGTTCCAAGTCTCAAATTCTTAATGAAGAAACGAGGCACTCAATCTCCTTACCACCTGGAAGCCTCTCGCTCCTCCCAGTTATCTCCTCCTCCTACTCTCTAGTAGGAACTCTCGGCCAGGGCTGCACCACCATCCCCGATATGCTACCCCACAGGCCATTTCTATTTTCATATGCTCTTCTCCTACTTTGCATAGCCTCCTCCCTCTGGAACACCCACCCCCTTTCTACTGCATGTCAACACTGGCCAGAGTCCACCTTCATCAGCCTTCCTCCTCTCTCCTCTCCCCAGCCAGTATTTCTCCCTCCAGCTTTACCTCCTATGTTTTTTTCATGCCGGCATTTAATCATACCAATTTGCATTGATAACTGTTTCTTGAGGACCTGAGACACATGCCCCATAAAAATAATTCTGGAATAGACATAACAACCCCAGTGAAGGAGAATCCTGCAAAACTACAAAATCACAGACCCATTTACTCTCTGGCCCAGCAATCCCACTTCTGGGAGTCGATCCTACAGCTTTACCCAAACCCATCTGAAATGACCTATGGACAAGGCTATTCATCATTTACCATTTGCAAAGTCAAAGACTGGTAGACACCCAAGACTCCATCAATAGCAGATTCATTAAATAAACAATATTACATACACATAGTGAAGCTCATATGCAAATATTTTAAAAAATGAAGATCTCACCCTGGCTCAGTTGGTTGGAGCATTATCCTGTACACCAAAAAGGCTGTGGATTCGATTCCCAGTCAGAGCATATAAGAAAG